AATTAGCGATTTGTCCCAACATCAACTCAAGCAATGAAGCTTTCTGCTCCGCGGTTCGACGGCGGGCTTCTGGTACGCTTTCGGCATCAATCTCAAATCCGCGTAGTGGGGAGGACCGACTCTTCTTCTCCCATGTGACGCCATCCACCAAGAACAATGCGAAATTCACATCCAAGGATAAGGTGTACAGTAAATTTTGACGCCAATTCTCAAATGAGTTGATGCTTTCAGTCCTAGTCAGGCACCATTGCTTGGGAGCTCTGATTGTAGAAGCCATCTCGACGTCTAGCCACAGATATTGACTAAAATGGACCGCACCCGATCACGGAAGCTACTAGCCTGTGGTATCTCTGGCGGTTATCAGCTGGAATATCCCAACAGCCACCTACTGCGATGCAGCAAGCCGTACACTGTGTGTAGAGTTCATTAGGTGTAGTAAATTAACTTACTACTGTGAGTCCTTGTTTTCCCGGACGCTGCCACCACGCCACAATGTAGATGAGTGGCTAATTGTAACACACACACGAACAGCTTCTTAGTGGACCAAACCAGAGTTTATTCAAAGCTAACTAATTGCACAAGAAACAAAAGCGTGTCTAATCCTGTAGACAAAGGAATCGGAGAAGGCAGAGGGTGCGCCCTCTCTCGGGCTACATAAGCACCTCTCGTAATAACGCTAACCACAACACTGGCGTGACTGCCTTTTTCTCCTCATGAACTGAACTGCAGTGCGAGTAAACTGAACGATATAGACTAACTGACTACGTAGACTGCTACTGACTAACAAGTAACATGCATAGAGCATAACAAAGTAACGTGGGCACTAAACTGGAATATTACGTAAGCGTTATCGGTCACTCGACTCACTACACTGCTACATGATCAACGCTGAACAGCTAGAGCCAGACTGCCCTTTCACCGATCGCCACAGCAGAGCATTGTTCCGGCTCCCTGAGCTACCTACGCCACTCCTACACTGCACTTCACACAACGAATCGACGCATGCACTACGTCGAGTACTCTTCCAGGTACTTGGGGGCATGCCTCTGACGCGCGGACCGTCTAGGCAGCAGGGCAGTAGCATCGTCCTTCCCCAGCATAGGCTCATCACACGATGTAATGGGAGGAGGAACAGCTTCAAAGGCAGTCTGAGGGATGTCCGCTGAATTAGTGCTGTCTACCATGCCTGTGGGCAGATCTTCTCCGGACGGATGAGACAACACGACCGGTATCTGGGGTGGAGCCTGGGGGTGTGAGCCTGCAGTCAAGGTGGCCGCGTCTTCGACATCTTCGACATCTGAATCACGCCTGTGGTGATGATAGGGGGTACATAGCTCGGAGGTCCCTCCAGCAACCTTGTAGCACTCCGCTAACTGCACGCGGTACGATGAACTGCGCAACTGAGACCCTGAGAACTTCCTAATGTTGCACCAACCACCCTCTACAGATACGACCAGGTAGCGATCCCGTGCACGTGACTTATCACGATCACCATACAGATATACCAGATCACCCACACCAACTGACGCCCTAGCAGGCTTCCTAGCTAGAGGGGCCTTTGCCGCCTCACTGTGGGGGTGATTTTGCACGCGCTTTTCATGTTGCTCTACGATGAGCTGGCGGTCACACACTGGCAACTGCGCATTGGTAAACTGGTCCCGCTGCGTCAACATCTCTCGCGATGACAAGCCTCGACCACGAATGCGGGAGTTCAGCCGTGCCACAGCTACAGAGAGAGTAAGTAACGGAACTGGTCCAGAAATCAACATCCGAAACATACGGCTCTACTACATCTGTAAACTGCCGGCTACACACCCCAAGTGCACTCGTCTCTTCAAAGCTGTTGACGTCGGCGTGTAGTGGTCATACGCTAAATATCTTCAACGCGATAACACCGACACGGCTGACGTCCTCTGATACACATTTTCGTACTTGTGTGTTATGTGATTCATGGCGTTACCATCGTGCTCAATTTGGTTCTGAGAAGATTGAGCGTTTTTTTTGTTCGCTTGCGTCTATAATGCACTTTCAGTACGTAGATTTTTTTAGAGTAAACAGTCATATTATCAGCTGACTTTTAATCGGTGTGATACGCATATTGC